GTGGACATAGATAACCCTGTATCCTTCAAGAGCTGCCTTCACAGCACAGAATCTCAGATCCCCTTCTCACCACCAAATGGGAGAAGTAGAGTCCAGTGAGTGGAATGGCTAGCAAAGCTTTTGTTAACCTTTCTGTACTCTTATTTAATAAGTTAGATCCGCCTAAGGGTCACCATTGTATACACTTACAGGAAGAAACACCCTTACCCTGGAGAGTACCAGCAAATCTGCAAAATCCTCAGTTCAGGCAGTTTGAGGAAGTTGGATCTCTCTGTCTCCCACCTTGACCTTTCATGGAACTGCTGGATGATGGCTTTTGGCCATCACGTACCCTGTGAAACTTTTCCATTCAAATCCTAATGTCACAATATGAAAGCTGAATTTTGCCCGCATGACTAAGCAACACTGGACAATTTTTTGTGGATGCTTAAGCACGTTGGTTAGGAAGATCTGTCTGCTGTTCAATGGATATGCTTGTGCTTCTTGGAGCTAAGTATGGTCTCTTTACAGGGAGAAGCAAATTGGATACGTGTAGAGTACAGCTTGTTTGACCTTCCATAGGTGTCCACCATAAGATGAGGTGGGCAACTCTTAATTCATCCCTACAAACACCTTTTTATCACAGACTGCAAAGGGAGTCTGAACAGCTAGCTCAGATGTACCCACAGTGTAGGGGTCAGCCTCTGTGCAAACAAAATTCACTCTGTTTCTGAACACAGTGCACAAAAGAAAACAGACCTATAAGCTGAAGTTTGGGATTTGCACTGCAAGAATGCTAGCATTTGTCATGGCTGTCACTTCATATGTGATTCCAGCCCACATCTCCAGCCAACCTAAACTGCATAGCTGCATCCTCCCACCACTCCCAGTCCTACCTTCTCACTGGCCATGATGCTTGTGTGTGGATTGGCAGTGAGGAGGCTCAAGGAGTGGAGCTGGCTTGAACCAACCCTTACAGAAAGGGTGAAGAGCTTTCAGCCAGATCAGCAAGTTGAACTTGCAGCTGAGAGGTTGTGTGAGGGCCAGAGAGAGGGAAGGAGTGGGAAAGGGTGATCAAAGGCAGGTCTGGAGCAATCCACCCTCTTCCACTGGCCCAGAACATGTTTCCATAGCAGCCTAAGTCAGACTTTGCACACAGCGTTTTCTTCTCCTCAGTCTTCTAGCTTCCTCCTTTAAAACAATCCAGGGCTGGCTGACAATCACATTCCCAACCTCAAAGGCTGACAGCAGAGTAAATTCTGGAGAGGCTCATAGCATCACTCATGGGGCTGTTAGTATCACTCACTTTTACCTGCAGGTGTGTTGGGGACACAGTGCCACTCTGTAGCATTCTGGAGCAGAGTCTTCTACTGGTCATAGCTTTGATGATGGAAAAGAAATAGGAAGAGAGGAACGAGAAGATGCTACTGTCATCCTTTCCTCCTTATTCATGAGTAACCTGCATTGTCCACTGCCTCCTGGCTGAGAGCCCCCCTCCACCAGAGACTCGCTATTATCTTCACAAGTTTTGAAAACTGTATCCAACATAGAGAAGAGAAACAGTAGGCATTTTTCCCCATTATTGGTCACTTCCTCCCTTAGGCAGGCATTAATCAGATGAGCTCCTCTCACCTCTGCTGGCTCAGAGACTCATTTTGCTAGCTAACAAAACCCAGCCAAGACATCCAGGCAGTGACAGGAGGGATTTGCTAGATTGCTTTCTGCAGGTTCAAGGAGAGGGATTTCAGGTGCAGCTGTTCCACTGTCATGTCTGCACAAGCCTCAGAGATGCTAGAGCATTGCAGGAAAGGGTCAAAGAAGTAATGGGACAGACTTAAAAAAGGTGGAATATTAACACATTTTCCCTCTCAATCTTCCTGTGCTTTGTGGCTTTAAAGCTCCACTTTTACCCTTCTCAACAAGGGGTATAACTGCTGAGTGTTGAAGCCTCACCCAAAGGATTTGAAAGGAAGCATAGAAGAATCATCACAGAGCAGCATTATGCCCCAGAGCAGTACAAGCATCATATTTCTGTTTTGGTCATTCCAGGCAGTTATGGGTGGGATGTGACTGGACCATCTTGATGGATTCACCCCCCACACTCCGCAAAAATATGGGCGGCCCTGGTACCAGTGTTTCCATACTGGCTCCTTATCTGCAAGGCAGTGTCACAGGAAACTCTGAGAGACCAGCAATATGGTTAGGAGAACTGACATCCAACTACCAATCTTCTGGAAACCTATTCAGATGCCCTCTGACACTAAAGAGAATTAGTGTCCCAGGTCCTTTGTGGTGGGAGGGGAGGAGCTAACTGGTTTCATCCAGACCTGGCTTTATTCAGGCAGGTGGGGAACTGAGAGGAAGGGAAGGCTCTGCCAGGGAATGAACAGTTGACTCTTGAAGCAACCTTATTCCTCAGCTAAGAGGGCAGAGTGGTAGAAGGGCAGCACAACAGACTGTTTGGTGAAAGGCAGTCACCTGCTGGCAGAGAGAGCAGGATATGTTTTTCCACCTGCCACAAGACAGTTGACTGTTTATTTTATCCCAGGGGAACTAACAGACTTTAGAACCCACCGAGGCAAATGGTTACAAAGGCAGCTTTGATGACAAGAACAGAAACAAGGAAGACCCAAGATCTCAGCCTGGAGCAGCTTCTTTCTTCTGCTCAGACTGAAAAAAAGCAAGTCAAGAGTGGGAAACCCACAACCCAGACTCAGTAGGCAAGAAAACCCAGGAGATTGAGTACCCTGCCAGTCTGCTGGTAATCTTGCTTGTTCCAAGGAGTAGGGAGTGCCAAGGGCACTGTAATGAGGTACTGCTGCCTTTCATTAAAAGTGCGTCAGATCCACAGAGCAGGGTAGCATGAGGGCTGCCCTGAAGCTGCTCTTCTGCTGAGCTTTCTATCACAAGCCCTATCTGTACTCTTCTCAACTCTCACTCCTCCTTCCTTTGTCCTGCTACACCTCCTTTCCCCCAGCACACTTCCTTCCTTCTTGCCCTCCATTACTCCTGTCTTTCACTGAACTATACTTCTATACTTCCCTCCTCTCCATCTCTCGTTAGAGCTTCTTTCTTTCATGTACGCTGCTCTATTTTGGCTCTATCCTCCTGCTCCTTTTATGCAATCGTGTACAGTCAGAGTTACTCAAAGGAGTGATAGTCTAGCTCAATGTTTGCATAGACAGAGCCACAGAGAAGATCATTTCCACAGAAGGGGGTGGGGGGGAGGGAACCTTGAAGCTCTTGGGAGAGCCTTAGCTTGGTCTTCCTTAGAGACACCAAAGATGGGAGCAATGATTTCTACTTGACTTTGATCCAGGTGGTTTAGCTTGGATTATGCTAGTATGGTAGCACTCTTCAGTTCCACTGTTTATGGAAGAACCACTGGAGGGAAAGACAGACCACAGTCTGTCTGACTTTCACTCCCCCTGATCCTGGGAAAAGGATTTTCTCTATGAGGCCAGCCACTGTACCACACCCATTGTCTACCTCACCTTGTATCTCCCCCCACCTCCTCCTTCTTCCACAGAAAGGCAGAAAGGAAGGGTCTGTGATTACCTGCAACTGTAGGACTGGCTCTCCTTCATCGGTTCATTGTTTCTGCCACAGTATTACTCTTCCCTACCAAGAGTTCACATTACAGATATGGCTACAAATATAGCCTTCTTCTTGTACAGAAGACTGCATCAGGGCAGCTCCCACACTGGTGGGCAATGTTCACAGTCTTTGATCTGGTGTGCAGAAAAAGCCAAATGATGGGTGTTCCCCACAACATGGGGGGATGGGGGATTTTTCATTATCTCTCTGCCAGGACATTTCACAAGAGGCTCATTGCGACAGCGAACCTTACAGAGGCAAAAGAAAATAGCTGAAGAGTAGTATCACTCCACCTCAAACAACCTCCTTTTGCACTTATTCAGGCAATTTTTCAGGACATACTACTGGCCCTACCTCCACTGTGTTTATTCTCCCCGGTGAATGTGTGTGTGAAAATGCCTACTCTGTTGAAATTTGCTAGCAAAGGGCTAGCCACTGGGTATTTGATCAGAGAGACTTGCAAAAGATGGTCAGTTTACCACAGGAAACGATGTCCATGACTCAGTCTTGGCAAGTCCCTATGCCAAGCCTGAAACCAGTAACCCAGTCCACAACAGGGAACTTGCCAACATTGTCTTTAACTAATTGCACAGGAAAAGGGGTGGAGCTAGAGAGGAGAGGTTGCAAGTGATGTGTCATGCTGGTCAGAAGGGATCACTAGACCATGTCAGAATCCCTGTGCACTATAGATCGTGAAGCTTTATTTCGGCTACATGAGGCACAGCCACACATTTTGATTCTAGCACTGCTCAAGGTGACTTGATGCAAAACCCTGAAGGATGAAGTGTCACTAAGGATATCCCTAAGAACAAAGAATCCTGGCTGGATCTCATTGTACTTTGAACTGACTGGTGTGGGTCTGCATCCATTGCTCTTCCACTTTCCATGAGCTACTTTTTTTCCCCTGTGAAGATGCATACATGCATGGACTGAGGTAGGAATAGGGTAGCAAACATAACCACAGCATATTGATAGAAGACTAAAAAGACCTGGTTACAAATGAGGATAAGCATAAACTGTGTGTAGAAAATATCCTCTGAGTGTTTTTATTGTGCACAACAGGATGCAAACAGGGTCAGCTTTTGGGGTCACCCAACAGCTTTTGGACAGATAGTCCATAAATATGCTTACTGTTATTGTCCTAGAAGGTACTAGCTACTAGATGGCACTAGCCACTGGATTCACAATACAGTGAGAGATTCTCAGATTACGCTTAAGAAGCTCCTAGCCTTTATGCTGGAGAACAGAGTTTGACAATAAAACTGAAATGCACCACAGATGCCCATAAATGAGAATGTTTGATATTTGTTATTGATCTAAAATATACTTGATTTTGTGCATATAGGAGGGAGGGTAACTTCAGCTGATCAGTATGGAGAATGCAGAAGGTGTGAAACTGACACAGGGAAAACCTGCTCAGTTCATGTGGTTTAAATTGAATCAGGATCAAAGCAGTTTATTGATATATTATTGACATGTCATTAACTGGCAAAGAGTTATCTATATACTCAGGATCAGTATCAGCAATATAATGGATAAACTACAAGACTAGATACAAAATATTAATAAACACCTACAAATTTCTAAACATGTTTCTGTAACTAATCACCAAAAGTTCTAATTTCCCCCCACACACACATTCCCAAGGTTACTTGCACAACCCCCCTCCCAGCCCCCACTTCCCACAGGAAGTGAGAGTTACAAGAACATCTCTCTTTTCTCAGAGTGTGGGTTCCCCTAATTATATGTGCTTCCTATTGGAGCTGCAGGTGCTTTAACTTTGTGTGTACCCATGTCACTTCCCACAGTCTGCCAATCCACAGGCCAGCGAGAATGCACAGGGTAACCTACACACCAAAGCTGTTACATCCCTTACTGTTAGTCCCCTACCCACAGCATCCAACCAGGAGGATGCACTGTCAATTCTAGACAGAGGTTGCAAAGTTGTGGGGCAACTTCTGGCACTGTCAAACCAGGTTTTGACTGCTAGTTTGTTCCTACTCATTTCTCTTCTCACACTAAAAAATTTCTTGCTTCTTTTCTACATTTTTTCAGACTGACTCTTTTTTGTCTCAGAAATCTTTTGCTAATTCCCTGGTTACTGTTAATCCAGCTGATGGTCATCTTCCTCTTCAACAATAGCAGGTTTTGGATTAATACCCTCTCATAGTTTCAGGCACTCAATTTGCACAACTGTTTATGTTCTATAATAATATAATCTTCAGATTTCTATTTTATCAGTTGTTATAATCTAGGTCATTTGACGAAGATGAGGGGGCTGTGCAGGCACCCCTGTATGAAATCACATCAATGTGTGTACAGGAACTAACATAGAGAGACAGCAAACAACTTTCTTTCTAGCATCATAGACCCCCAGTTCCAGGGAGGAAACAATTCACCTCACAACATCCAAGTGACTAACCGCAGCTCTCTCCTACTCTGGGGTTAAGAGTCTCAAAATGGACCTCCTCATTAGGGGTCCTGGTACCAGGCTGCTGGGACCAGCACTGGGAAAGGTTACAATCACAGTGGGAGGCTCTGGAACCATTGTAAATATCTTACATTCCTGAAAGGGCAGGAAATTATTTCACCTTTCTGCTCCATAAACACCTGCATCACGCTTGAGGGCAGCATGTATCAATCACCTCAATTTTCCCATACATCATTCCATAGTTCTGTAAGTCTCTAAAGACCTCCTAGCTTGCTTCTACCTTCTCCAGTCACAAAGAGCTTCACGAGTGAATATTGGTTATTTCATGTTACAAATACCTGGGGGCTGAGCAGTGTGCTGGGACAGCAGGGTGGCACATGGCAGTGTAGAACTGCCAGGAACTCCTGCCCCTGTCCTTGGAACCCCTGAAGATAGTGGTACTTTATTATAACAAGTGCACTACTTGGAGGCACTAGCGAACCTTGAATCTACTCTCATAGACCCTCACAATACAGACAAGAGTCAACAAGCACAGCATGGTTACAGACAAGATCAATACGACATGAACAAAAGAAAATATTACAGCTACAAGAGTGTCTTGCATGACACAAGGTTGCAGGAGAAGCCACAGAATGCAACTTCCCTGAGAGGTAGTCATGATCTGAGAAGCTGAAAGCCAGGACCTTCAGGAGAAAACTTCACTAGCTTTTTTTCCAAATCCAACCACACAGAAAATCAGTTGCAGCTTTTATTTAAAAGGTAGGAACACAGAGAACCACATGTTGAGAGGAATGAAGGTACCTGGTTTTAGAGGCTCTCCATCAAGCAGTCAGCCACTTGAAGCAGGATAGCGAATGCACAGAAGGGATCCAACAACCAAAAAAGAACAGCAGGTGTTCATGTTCAGAAATGAACTTCTTGGCCCTAGTTAATACATTCTTGGGGTTGCTGGCAGCTTCTGCTACTTCTGCTGGAAGCCCCTGGAGAGTCCTGCTTTCCAGTTTCCTTGAATTCAGAATGATTTGGAGGGAAAGATCTATCCACAACAGACAAATAAAGACAAGCACTCTAGAAAGAAATACTCACAAAGTGAGAGGTAGAAAACACAGAGAAAGTGCTATCAGCTGTGATACCTCAGATACAGAGAACGAATTCTACAGTAAGTTCTTCCCAAGGTACCTGGTTGCTTTGTGCTTCCAGGGACGGAACACCAGCTCCTCAGTCCCGAGCCCTGGAAAGCCTTCCTGCTTGAGTATGTACGAGAGTGAAGCTAACAGAAGCAGCCAACAGATGCAGCAGTTTGAGCCACAGTTTCCAGGTTCTGTTTCTAGACTTTCTAGACCTTCTAGGAACTTCTAGGATTGTCAGAGGTCTCCTGGGAACTCTTTGAGGAACTTCAGGGTGCCTGCTGTTGGAAAGGATATTTACAGGAGGCTTTGACTTCTAGCAGGCTCTAGCAACTTCTAACAAGCTCTGACAACTGTTCTTGACATAAAGGGTGCTTTGAGATTTTGTTCCAGCTGACTCCTGATTGAGGAGGATCTAACACCCTTTCAGCAGGTACAGGGGCGAGGCCTATATAAAGTTCTGGGCTTAGAGCATGGGTCCTAGGGTACAGCCTCTAGATGCCATGGTTTGTGCAGCAGTTTGTGTAGAAGAATGCATAGACAGGGTTTAAAAACTCTGTACACATGCTCAACAACGGTGGTGATGTGCCACAGGGCATGATACTGGAGCAAATACCCCCTGGAACAACTCCACTCAAACTGCACTCCTGAGGGAGAATGCAGCTCTCTAGGTCTTTGGCTGCAGGAGTGCTTCAGACCTCTTGGTAGGAGAGTGGGAGATGGTCTCCCTGCCTGCAGGAGGTGTACAGTGGTGGAGGATTTGTGTCACAAAGAAGCTGCAGCAGGAAGTCAACAGGCTGTGCAGTTACAGGGATGATGAAAAGGAGATGTCCAGACCTTCTCTGAGACCCTGAAGATCCAACAGGATCCTCAACTCCTAACTGTGCTGAAGGAGTGAAAGCCAGTCTGTGTCTGCTTATTGGGTTGGGAAAAGGAGACTCCTGTGCTGGCAAAGACTAGAAGCCCGTGACTTCTGGCAACAGGAGGAATGTGCTCTCTCATCTACAGACCTGCCGCTGCAGAATAGGCTCAGTATCCTCGTGCCAGAAGAGGGGCTGGGAGGTGTCCATTGAAATATCTGAGCCAGCTGAGCCTGAGCCACACAGCAGCAGCAGGAGGAAGCTGTGACAGTAATGGGTTACTCCCTGCTGCAGGGGATGGAGGCACCCATCTGCTGACCTGACCTGCTGTCTAGGGAGGATTGCTGCCTGCCAAGGGCTTAGATCTGGGATACTGTGGAGAGGCTGCTGATGCTTGTCTGGCCTTCAGACTGTTACCTATGCTGTTGTTCCATGTGGGCACCGATGATACAGCCAGGGGAGACCCAGAGTGTATCAAATATGACCACATGGCTCTAGGGGCAAGGGCATGGTGGCACTTGTTCTCCTTGATTCTTCTGGAGAGGGGGGAAGGGCTTGAGGAGAAATGGATGGCTCCTGCAGGTCAATAATTGTTTCACACCTGGTGCTCATAACAGGAATTAGTTTTTTACAACCGTAGAACCCTCTTTGAAAATTAAGGACTGCTTGGAAGAGATTAAGATCCATCTGATCAAGTGGAGCAAAAGCATCTTTGCCAAAAGGCTGGCTGACCTGGTGAGGTTCCTCATCATTCCTTTAAATTAGAAATGATGGAGGAGGGAGATGACAACCTATGACAAAGTGAAGAAGTGATGGAGCAGGTTGGGAAACAAAGAGTGCAGCACGGTATGGGAAAAAGAGACTTCCTAATCAACAAAACAGGCCTGAAAAAGGCCCAGTTGATGTGGAAGCACACAAACAAGGAAGTGCTGAGAGGACAGAACTTTCAGGGGACACACTCACGCTTTTTCTGGGACACCAGCACGTGAATGCCTCTGAAGTGTCTGTACACTAACATACGCAGTCTGGGGAATAGGAAGAACTAGAGGTCTGTGTGCAGGACTACAGTCTCATCAATATCTGTTGGATATCTGTCCGGTATCTGCTGGAAGGACAAGACAGCAGAGGACAAGGAATCCAGCAGGTTTCTGGAGTTCATTGATGATAACTTCCTGAAATAGGTGCTAGAGGAATTAAGAAGGGGAAGTGCTCTGCTTGACCTCATACTTACAAACACGGAAGAACTGGTCAGGGATGTGAAAGCAAGGGGCAACCCTGGCTGCAGTGCCCATGAGGTGGTGAAGTTCAGGATCCTGATAGAATGGAACAAGGCAAATAGCAGGATCACAACCTTGGATTTCAAGAGAGCAGAATTGGCCCTGTTCAGGGATCTCCTTAGAAGAATCCCATGGGAAATGATCCTGGAGAGAAGAGGGTCCAAGAGAGCTTGTTGATTTTCAAGGATCACCTCCTCCAAGCTCAAGTATGGTCCATCTCGTTGAGCAGGAAATCAGGCTACAGCAGCAGGAGGCCTGCATGGATGAACAAGGAGCTCCTGACAAAACTCAAGTATAAAAAAAGGAAGCATATAAGAGGTGGAAGCAGGGACAGGTGACCTGGCAGGAATATAAAGACACTGTCTGAGTGTGCAGGAATGGTGTGAGGAAAGCCAAAACCCATCTGGAGCAAAATTTGGTGAGAAAGGCTTCTACAGGTATATCAACAGCAAACAGAATACTAGGGAGAATGGTGACAAAGGACAAGAAAGAGGCCAAGTTACTCAAAGCCATCTTTGCCTTGGTCTTTACTGGTAAGACTTGCCTTCAGGAATCCCAGGGTCCTGAGACCAGTGGGAAAGTCCAAAGCAAGGAAGACTTCTCCTCAATAGAGGAGGATCAGGTTAGGGAACATGTAAACAACCTGGACATACACAAATCCATGGGACCTGATGGGGATGCACGTATAAGTGCTGAGGGAGCTGGTAGACGTCACTCTGAGGCTGCCCTTTATCTTTGAAAGGCTGTTGCAGTTAGAGGCATTTCCTGAGGGCTGGACAGAAGCAGATGTCACCCCTATCCTCAAGAAGGAGGATCCAAAGGATTATAGGCTAGTCAGCCTCCCCTCGATCCCTGGAAGGTGACGGGGCAAATCCTCCTGGAAGCCTTTTTCAAACATCAAATCTTTAGGAAAGGCAAGAAGGAGAAGGGAGGGGCTCTGAAGTCCCCTCCGGGGCCTGGCACCAGAGTCTCAAGGCTGCTGTGCCCCCTTGCTCAGCCCTGCACTTACTTCCTCTGCTTCTGTATCAGGCATACCAGCTGGGAGCCCAACCCTTTGTAGTTCTCCTTGCTTTCATTGCAGGACACTTCTTCAGCCAATGTGTAGTAATATCTTTTTTGAAAGTGTCTCCAGCCCATTGGGCAGCACTTCTAGCATTGCACTATGGAGAGAAGGAAGACCACAGAGCAAATGCAAGAAAGAAGAAGCAAAAGAAGACAAGAGAGGGAATATGGCCTATCATCTGAAGAGCCGTGATAGCCTAAAAGGCAGTTCTGGATTGTTCTCTGCAGGATATTGTCCAGGCAGTGGATCTTATCACTAACGATGTGTCCAAAGAAGGTAGCACTGTGATGTTAGGCAAGTGTTGCAGTGTATCAGTTAACTTGTTCCAACCAACTACCTTTAAATCCTGTCTGAATGAAGACCAAGGGTAAGCCTGGTCATGAGCTTATAGGCCAGGAACAGCAGAAGCTGACAATGGTCAATCACTGGCAGGTATTTGCTACAGACCATCTGATCAAGGGAGCAAGTAGATAAAGCCCTGTTAGGGAACAGGAGGAAGCGTTGTGATTGCAGGCCTTGGTTTTCATGGGGTACTTGAACCACCTCAGCTTCTGCTAGAAGGGAAACAGGGAGGGCACTAGCAACCCGGGATATTTAGAGACTGTGTCAGGGACAGTTTTTGACACTGTTGATTGATTGAACTAGCTAGTGAGGTGCCCTGCTGGAAGTGCTAGTCACAAATAACTGGTTAGGGAACCAGTTATAGAACTGGTTAGGCATGTGAAGTGCATGGAGATTGGTGGAGCTGAAGATCCCAAGGGAAGTGAGGAAGGCAAGAGGCAGAAAAGAGTAGGAGAGTAGAGTTGACTTGCTGAGGGAACTGGTATCCAGGATCACTTGGCAGATGGCCCCAAAAGACAAAAAGAGGACCAGGAGAGCTGGTGGATCTTCAAGGACAACCTCCTCAAAGCACAAGAACGGTCCATTCTGATGTGCAAGGAAAGGGACAATCATAGCAGGAGGCCAGCTTGGTGCACAGGGAACTTGACTGAGCTCAAACACAAAAGGGAGTGTGCAAGAGGTGGAAGTGGCAATGGGTTACTGAGCAAGAATATAGGGATGTCACCTGAGCATTCAGGGAGAGAATTAGGAAGGCGAAAGCTTATCTAGAGTTAAAATTTGATGCAGGCTATGAAAGGTCAGAACAACAGCTGCTACAGGTGCATCAGCAGCAAAAGGAAGACCAGAGACAATGTGGGACAACTGCTGAATGGGGAGGTGACCTAGTGGCAAATGACACAGAAAAAGAGAGGTGCTCAATGCTTTCTCTGACTTGGCAGAGTGTGGGGAAAAAGCGTTAAAGAGGAAACATTACTGACGAAGTAATTAACCTGGACATACACCAGTTCAAGTGACTGGGCACAGTAGATCTGAAGATGCTGAGGGGAAAGGCCAATATCAATGAAAGGCCATTCCCTGGCATCTTTGACAAATTGTGGTGACTGAGGAAAGTTTTCTTTATCTGGAAAAGGCAAATGTTATGCCCAGCTCAAAATCAAAGACCCCAGTTCAGACCTCAGTGGGACAAAGGTGTACTGAACACGTTACAGAAATCATGAGGCTGGCTTAACTTCTCTGATAGTGCTAAACACAAAGAGCTCTGAGATTCCATGGACTGCTGCTGCATATGGACTTCTTGGGCTGATAGTCTCTCACCCTTGCTCCACAGCTAAGAGGGTTGTGGGGAAAACATTCATCAATAAGAACAGAGGTCTCTGTCCATCACAGGATTTCAGAGTCTTGGATGCTGGGAGAAATACAAGAAATAGAGTGTCATGTTAAAGTCATAAGGCTGAGACACAAAAAACCTCCAATGGAAAAGGAGCAGAAGTTGCTGTGATGGCCCTTGAGGCCAGCCAATGGGCTCTGAGAGGCTGATGTGAGGCAGGGTCAACTCCAATAGCGCAGCAACTTTTGGCACTACGGTTCACAATGGAGACCAGAGCCAGCCGGGCTGTACACCCAGGGACAGATTCTATTTCTGGCAAAAAAGCAACCAAAGCCTGCTAACCCCTCTGTATGCTGTCCTTTTGTATGATGAGAGACTCTATCTGGATGAAACAGTCCTCAGCTCCAGCAGGGAGGACAGCAGATAACTGCACACAACTCAGTATAGCCTTGTGGCCCAAAGCAGTGAGCAATCCCTCACAAAGAGTATGAGAAACTACAGAGAAAGGGGACAAAAGAGGCCAGTCATATAAGCAAGCTGCTAGTCTGGCCATGTCCTGCATCTGATCACTACAGTCTGTCTTATCTTCTTATTAAACTCTATTTCTAACTATTTTCCTGGGGGAGGGCATCTCTACTTTGTATCCATGTATGTATCTGGAGGTCCAAGTGCCAGCAACTGAAGAGGCCCTGTAAGTCTGACGCGCCAGCAACTGGAGAGCCAGGTGCATGCATACTGTGTGTGGGTGCATAAACACTTGTGTGTAATCACTAATCAGCATCAACATAGACTGGCAAATAGGATAAAAGACTTGGGAGCTAGGTATCAGACCCAGACCATAAGTCTGGGTTGGACCTTGGAGAGGCTAGGGGATCTGAGAAGCGGCTTACAGAGGGCCCAGGGGTCCAAGCCAGCTACTAGACAGACCGGGGATCAGCTTCTGGAAAGACCATAGGTCTGGACGAGCTACCAGAGAGACCTTTTTGCATGTGTGTCTATGCATGAAACAAGATATAGGGAAGAACAGGGGATGTAGGGGCCAACTACTAGATAGACTGAGTGTCTAAAGCCAGTGGCTGGAGGGACCCCATGGTCTGTGTATGTGTATGCAAGTGTGTGCACGTGCGTTTGCATGTGAGTTCCAGCAACAGGAGTTGGGCTGTGGGCCTCAGGAGCTCATAGGTCCATGGGCCAGCAACTGGGGATACCAGGGAATCTAGGGGCCAAGCTACTGAATAGACTGAACATCTAAGGCTAGCTGCTCGAGAGACCTGTTTTGTATATGTGTAAACATATATATTTTCATCTAACAGGCTTTCATCCTCATCAGCCAGAGAGGGGAATAGGATCAGCCTGTTCATGCTGTCTGCGCTTGCATGAGTGTTTTCTGCCTGTGTTGATCTGTGCAGCTGGCTCTGGATATATGTATTGAGTGTATGTGGGCATATGTGCCTATTGGGAATACGTGCTCAGCCTCTCAGCCTCACTACTGGCTCGATGTGAGCCCATGGAGTTGCAGCAACCTTGCCACTATCAGGTTACAGGACTCAGCAACTCCTACCACCATTCACTGCCATTCACAGAACCGCTCCCACTGATTGGTTCAGGAAGCCAAATCTCCTGATTACCTTTTCTCCAGTACAAATTCTCCACTTTCTTTGGGACACAAAGAAAGGATTCCCTTTCATAGGACAGAGCCACACACGCTAGTGTCCTGCAGGGAGCTGGCACCATTCGGTCAGGAAAGTTTGGGTAGATGATACTGAGGCAAACAGAAGAGTGAGCACCGAGGCCAGAAAATGTAAATGGCTGGAGAAAAGATGGGAATCATAGAGGCACACAGTCTGCAGCAAGACTCAGGAGCAAGTGAAGGCAATTCAATACGCAATGCATTTCTGGAAAGAACCTTACATACAGCAACAGCCCTGCCCCTTCCTGCCTCTTCTGCAGCATGCTCAGGCCTGGGAAGGTATGCTGCTATAGAGATTGCTGTGCTGTTAGTCTCCCAGGAGATCTGTTGCATCCGTCGCAGTATGGGATCAGTTTTGCATTGGAAAGTGGACTTCTTTTTTGGGATGGCACTCAAGGTCCCAGTTTTTTGCTGCTGGGGAGAATTCATCATACTTGGCCAACTGTAGGCTGGACAGACTCCTGCCACAACCTTGTGTTACTCTCCCACTCAAGACTTTCACCCATGGTAACAAATGCTCATAATTATATCTCTTGAGCTTGTTGCCTGTGTCCAGTCTCTTCCAAAGCTTTTGCTATAGCAGCCGCACCACATAGCCAGGATGTCTCTGAAAGGCTTTGTCTCAGTGGGTAGATCCAATTTATACTGCAGTAGTTGTGTAATGCTCTATCCTGCAGAGCAACATGTTTTGATCCTGGTTACACAAGAGACCTGCAGCTTAGAGAGTAAAAGAGAGAGAGAGTAAAAGAAAGAGAGAGAGAGAGAGAGAGAGAGAGAGAGAGAGAGAGCACGTGTAAGCGTGCCCAGGACCTTTTACATTGGTTTAAAATTGTATTTTACTTTGTGTAGGAAATTAGCTTTGTTCAGCTAAAAAATGCAAATAGAGGATGCTCTCTGCGTGCTCCAGGTCAAAGCAGACACCTCTTCTCGAGAAGACTGAGGAAAGAGCAGCTCTAAACATGTGTCTTTCATTCTTGCATCTTTTTTTCTGGAAATTCAACCTCTTTTCACCCAGCCCTTGCCAGACCCAAACAGAGAGGACAAAATCAGAGCCTGGGACCTGCTTTAATGACCCTGAGCCCTCATGTGTCAGTCCCAATGGAGGCAATGACATTTAAAGGAAGGTATTTGCTCTATTAACGTACAGCCTGGTCCCTTTACCTGTCACACTTCCCTGGATCTTCCAGTGCCAAACCCATCTTCACCACTATGAGATGATAAAGGCAATCTCTGAGACAGCTCAGGCAAAGCCCTCCCAACAAGGATTTTTTCCACTTCAGGTTTTACAGTGCTTTCAGAAGGACATTGGTACTGTTGAGTACTGGCAAGTGCTGGATGTATGGCAGCTATCAGTTCCACTCACACCTTCTCACCCAGTAGAGTGGACATGTAGTCTCCAGGACTCCCTCTCACCCCTCCCAACATACCCCTGTGTTGTTTCCAGCTCACTGATAGCCTCTCACTTTTACTCAGTATTAGGTTCCCTCCATCAGATAGTTATTGCTGCAGCTTCACAAATTCGAGGAGAACGGATCTCACATGGCAAATCATTCCAGTTCCAGTGTTCTTTTTCCTTCCAGTGGATTACAACACACTTCTCCTTCTCCACATTACTTGGCTCCCCAGTCCTCCAGAACCTGAGACAGAGATAGACTTGTTACTCTCCAGTGTACCCTGTAGAGCGTTCCAGGGAATGGCCACTGCAGGATATAGTGCTTGGAGAGGAGAGGGAAAAATTACAGATGCTGATTCACTGACAGAAGAGGTACCCTTCCTCTGACTCTGCTAATCCCACTGGCATCAGCCTCAGTATGGAAATCTGCCTTCTTCCTACAGCCTGCACAACAGGGCCATGTTCATTCCTGGTGGTGGGAACTGCTCACCATAGCTCACCTCAAGCACCTCACACCCCACAGAGGGTTGTATCTCCCCCCAGGAGAGGAAAGGAGAAGAAGTTCCAGAAGAATACATAGCAGTAGCAGCCCCAGAGATCTCTCCTGGCACCCCATCTCTTCCACAGCATCACGGCATTGGCTCTGCACATGCACATGTGTGCGTATATGTATGGTATGGGGAGTATGGCGGTCATTGCAAGGCTGCTCAGCTCTGAAAGGTCTTTTCTGCTGGGGAGAGGCAGTTTCTTCTGTGCGCACAGCATTGACAGGCAAGTCACAAGTAGTCAAGCAACAGCCGTGAACCAGCAGGGATAGGCCTGTCTGAATCTAGTGTCCTAAACAGAACTCCTCTGCCCCATCAGAACGTTATCCTCTCACAGGGAGTTGTCTTATTTCCCTCTCACACACCAGCAAACACCCTCACATATCTCTTTACTCTCTTGCACTGTCAGCGGCTGCACTAAACATTCTTTGTCCTGGGATACTCACACTGCTGTCACATTGAAGGGAGTCTGGTCCACCCAGTGCCACTGGCCCACCTTCTGTGCACTCAGACCAATGTAGTAATTGTCTTTTCTCTCATATTCACTCTTTTCTTTTAGCCATGCAGAGAGGAAAACCTGGAAATCAGGCAGAATGCAATGTCCATGAGGTGCAGGGTTGAGCAGAGGAGGGAGGCGGGAGTCTCCATGGAGTGGGGCTGGTAGCAGAGGAGAGCCAGTGTTGAATGGACCCAGAGAGGACATTCCCTGCTGCACTGCAGGGGCAAGGAGGGGCTCTGGAGTCCCCTTTAGGGGCTGGCACTTGCATCCCAGGGCTGCTGTGTCACCTCTCTCACCCCTGCACTTACCTGCTCTGCTTCTGTATCAATCACCACCAGGTGGGAGCCCATCCCAGTGCAGTTCTGCTTGCTGTTGTTCCAGGACATAGAATCTGTTGATTTGTAGTAGCAGCCTTTTTGAAAGAGTCTCCAACCCACTGGGCAGCACATCCAGCTTTGCCCTGTGTGGGGAGAGACCACAAAGGGTGAATGCTAAGAATGAGAAATGGTGGTCACTGCAAGGATTCGTATTCTCCACAGACAGTGCTCAACTGTTCTCCCTAGGTCATTTTTTTCCTCATCTAAAGTGCTTGACCGAACAAAGACAATTCACATATTTCTTCGAATTGTTGCGGAGTATGATCTGTGAGCTGTGCATACACAAATCCACGGTAAGCCTTGTAACATGTTCTCAGGTCTTGCCATGACAGACCCCAAGTCATTCAGCAGATCTGGTTTGACTGCTTCTCTTCATGCAGTCATCCTAATGCATCCTTAGTCACAAAGAGCAGGGAATATTGCTTCTTTTCCTGACTTGAGCTGCACTTTTATTCTTGCTCCATATTTAACCTTTCTTCTGCCACTGTATTCAATCACTTTTGTTCTGTCAGTGTTCACATCCACCCTACCCTCCTAGGACATCATAACATCACCTTATCCTCCCCTTAACCTTTTAGCAGCAACTCCTTTTTCTCCCCTCATGTCTCCTCTGGAATCTCCCTATCTCATCCCTGCTGCTGCTTGCTATCAGATCAGACACCAACACTCATTGTCCAAGTCCAAAAGATCTGCACCCTTGCCAGCACTACTGACCTTTACTTTGTGGCATCGCTGAGATGCAGAGCAACTCCGTGGCATTCTGTTGCAGGGCCTTCGGCTCTTCATGACTATGGGAGAAGTTAGTGACTGGAAAAGGAGAGGAAAAAAGGCAAGATTACCACTTTCTGCCTTCTCCTCTCACATCATCACTGCCTTCACTATTTTGTCTCCATTTCCCCATCAAGAACTGTCTCAGTATCACCTCTCCTTTGACTGTCTCTTTTAATTTCACAAGCAGTAACTGCCATCCTCTCAGGGAAGAAAACAGGCATTTCTGCTCTCCCAGCATCCCACAGCTGCCTGCAAGGACTCCTCCACCCACTGACTCACAAGATCTAGACAGGATGACCTAGTCAACAAAGCTAGAGAAGCATATGACCTACCTGAGCAGTCCCAGGTGGCTGTAGCCAGGGCATGGTCTGTTAACACAGGCTGTCACTACTCTGCTGAAAAGACCTCAGGGTAAACAGTGGAAGAATTGGGGAATGTATGTTGCAGTCAGAAATGACAAAATCAGAGCTGAGAAGCCTGAGAGCTTACAGAAAGCCCAAGCAACACTGAAGTTCTAAAGATGGCCCTGCTTTAAGCAGGGAGTTGGGCTGGAGACCTCCAGAAGTCCCTTCCCATCTAACTCTTTCCATCATTCTAAGAAATAGGGTGGGTAGGTGTGTACAACAGAACCGTCTGGCATAACACTGTGTTATTCCTAGCTCCTACACATCCATTGATAAAAACATCTGGTTTTGTTGGCCTGCAGAAGGAAGCTTGTGTCAACTTGCAACTGTACTCTTAAACATCCAATATTTAAGGAATCAGGAAATATCTTGCTCTTAAAATATACCTTTCAAATATCTCTCCAAGCCCAAGTGTTGGGATTTCCATCCTTTCCCATGAGAAAAAAGTTCCAGAGTAAAAGCTCCCCCCTGATCTGAAAGTGTTCCCTCTGTGCTCAGATTTCTCTGTTTTTCTCCCAATACTGCCCCCAAACCTCTCCTCCCTCTTCCGGGTAACCAACCTGCACATAACTCACCAAGGAGAGTAATGACGAGAGTGATGCACACCAGCAGGAGCAGTAGTGAGATCAGCCATGGGAGCCATGGTGGGTATTTCTGGGTATGAGGCTCATGCTCCTTCTTCTCTGGAGGTGCTAAAAAAGTAAAGGAACCCACCAAACATAACAACACAGTCAGCTCTGCTTCAGTCAGCCCTGCTTCAGTCAGCCCACATACCAAGGATGTACAACTCAAAGAGAGAGCTGCCCCAAGAAACCCAGATTCAGTCTTGATGTGGAAGTTACACAGTTTGGGATAGGGGCAGACTGGGATAGAGTAGGGCTCTCTGGTCTCTGGAGAAAATTAGTCCTAGAGGCAGTGTCCACAGCCCCAGCCCTTCTGGTGAGCCAGCAATGCCAATTGCTGTTGCTTGGGTGTGAGGCCTTCACATGGTCTTAAAGACTGGAGGGAAACCATATCTGTCCAGATCAAGTGAAGGGCTACCAGAGACTACATTGCTCTTCCCGTATTACTTGAGACATTCACATAAGATTTTGCATGGACTTCTCCCCAGAAAACATGTTTTATACCTAGTTCAGGTCCTTCTTATCTTTTTGGACCATCTGCAGGTCCAAAGGTAGATGTAAGCTGAGTGAGGGCAGAGATCAAAAAAGGTGAAATGGTATGATGGCTTGGAATCACTAGAAGAGAAGAAATATACTTTCTAGGACAAGACCCTTCCACTTCTACTTTCCAAGCTAGTATTTGGAAAAACTTGCCATGGTGAAACTGAGCTGTGTTAGGCTGGATGCTAGTGGTGCGAGGAGAACAGAGGGCTGTGTCCAACAGTCTGCCTAAAGAACGGTGCTCAGATTCAGTCTGACAGAGTCTGACTTTTGTCCAGAGGGACACTCCCCATACCAAAGAGGTTTCAGAGCCAGGGGAGAATGGGCACAGGGAAGGAGGAGCAAACACTTGGTAGGATACTGTTTTAGAGAGTGGCAGGGACACAAGATGGGGCGAACTGGAGGTGGAAAGAGACAGTAGCAGTCACTGCAGGACAGGAGTAAAGAAATTTCAGGAGAGACTGATCTTTATGCCAAGCTTAGAGAGAGATCTCATTCACTGTTCAACTTGAAACTCCCAAGTCAGCCAACAGCCATGTGGGCCTGCCATGCAGCCTAGCGAGCTGCAAGACTTCCAGAAACTTATAGTTTGGGGAAATGCCATGATTACTTCCCAAAGTGTTGGGGGGAGGGGTGTTAGAACTAGGCAAAAAAGTATCATCTTTCATTATCAGAAAAAAAAAAAAAATCATATACAGATAAGACTCAGATTTTCCTGGCCAAATCATGTTTTTTCCAGATTAAACTTTTGTCTGTAGTGAAAACAAGGACCTGGATCATGCTCCGGAATCCAACCACTTGCCTCAGACCATAAATCTGACCAGACCAATTGACTTTTTGATGTCCTGCATGCCCACAGATTGACTGCTCAGCCTGTGCCCAGTCAGACCTCTGCATCCTGGACTCACCACACTCAGATGGCACAGAGATCACAGGCAGTATGCATGCACTTCACCAACACAACCAACATGAAGTAGATCTTGTGCATACCCAGTGGGCCAATTTTCCTGCAGAACGCTTCCTACATTTAGTCTGCATGCTTTTAACATGTCCAGCATGACCATAGCACATCAGACCTGATGAGCACATCGTGGTTATTCAGGCTGTAAATCCAGTATCTCCCGGGGGCACGGAATCTGGCAGCAGGTGCTGTGCAGCACAGGTGCCTATGTTTCTACCTAGGAAATCCTGTTTGGAAATTAAGGGACCTTAAGTACGCTCCTGTGTGAAACCCACATCAGCAGTCTCTGCCACCTCCTACCACAGATAGGTTGTTTAACTACCTGCTGCCTTCACCTCTCTCTCTTCCAATGACTGCCAATTTTGGTGTCTCTAGGATGCAATAGGAAGATGCTAAAAATGGGCAACTCCACGTAAGCAGGGCCATTACCAACATGGAGTCTGGATGGCCAGAGTAATCACTCAGAAGGGCAACAGATCAGGAAGCCTCCCTTAATCTTTCCATCATTTAATCTGTCTTATAAGTATGTAATGAGGCTGTGAGGGACATTATCACTATGTGCAATGGTACTCTTGGATATTTCACTGGATTCAACAAATGAGCTACAACCAGTGTGGGATCCCTTGAATAGGCCCACCCAAATACAGACCCTGAGCACACACCCAAACCCATAGATGAGCTTGGCATCAGCAAACACAGCTGCATCATATATCTTTGGAATAGGTCATGGGGAACACTGAACTACCACCACCCGCAGTTCACCATGATGGAAATGCTAGCTGTAATCATGCACTGGCTGATCTCAGTTCATTGAAAACTCACTGACAGCTGGTTAGTTATGTGTACATGCATGCTTTATTTCTGTGACTCACATCTCAGAACAGGAAAGGAAGAACCAAAGCTGATGCCTGCTCTGTGTGGGAATTGTGAAACTGAGGTAAAGTTCTAAGCTGGTAAGTCTTTTGCAGCAATAAAGACATATGGGTATGGGTATGTATGTATATATACACTTTCAGTCCTCTGGGCTGTGCACAACAGCAGGATGGAGACACTGAGCCACACATGGAATATCTCTATGTGTTCCTATTTGTGGCATAATGACTACAGCATGTACACTGATCAGAACAGGTCTTAAATCTGCACAAAGTCTAGAAAAAGCACCACTTTGTAACCACGATTTTTAATAGAAATAAGACTATGTTTGGGTGTTAATTATTTTTCAGGAGCAGCAGGCATCAATCACAAAATTAGATCTTCCTCCAGGTCTCAGATAATTCCTCTGATGTATATTTCAGGGTGTTTTGTTCAAGCCCTTCCCTCCTTTTAACTTTTGGGTGTCTCTTCTGCAAGGACGATTTCACAACCAAACAAAAGACCACAAAGCTCTAAGTTTCTGCACCTAGTGTCACCTCTCAAGAGGGTGCAGATGCCCCCTCTACTGTAAGGAGACATACTGGTTCCCCATTACCAGTATGTAATACTGGTAATAAATGTGATACTGGTAATAAACTCCATACCCTCCACAGGCAGGGATCTGTAGCCTTACTCTTTGAGGCCAAAGCAAGTAGGGAGAGCTTGGGCTTATTTCCTGCCATTTGCTGCCCTGGGAGTTCCTCTGCCTTTGTGACATCTCAGATCATTTGTAATAAACCATAGTCTCTACTGTTAGTACTTGTTATTTGTCCAAAAATGCCACTCTCACCTAAGACACGACTAGATAACATGCAAAGAGGCAGCTACTACCTCCATTACACCACTACTAAATACTACTGCTCTACATCCTGTGCCTTCTACCATTCACCAGTGCTGGTGAGACAACCAGGGGGACTAGGGGAGCCAAACTGCTTTCCTTCCTGAATCTTCACCTGACACTTACTACTTGTCTTCGCACTAATCATCCTTGTTCATGCCTCAGCTCCCCACCACTTAAAGATTCTCATTTCTCCTCTTGCAGATGTTTCTCAGCCCTCTTTCTTCAAAACTCCTCCAGTCTCCTGCTCAGGTCGTGGCAGACAACTCCTCTGCCTCATCATTTTGTCAAAACCAGGCAGGAACCATAGTCCAAGAAGCAAAAGTATCCATCCCCTGTTCTTCAGCCCCCTTCTTTCCTAGGTCCCTTTTCCCTTAACATACCCATCCTTTCCTTACCTTTGACCTCTGCAGACAGTGATTCATTCTTGAACTTCACCTCAGCGTAGACGATATCTGATGCCATTCAATCACACCGTTACTGATCCCTGTTCTTAGGTTTATTACATAAAAGCTTGGACTTCCAGGTCCCTGATTTCAGAGGAAGATACCAGTGAGTCACTAAGCCTTTCCCATCTGCTCATTCATCCTTTTCATCCTTTGCCTGTCAAAAAAGGCTATGCTGAATGCTGGAACTACTATAGATAATCTGAGAATTGCTGGGAGCTCAGACACAGTCTGAAAAGATCTTGGGTTTCTTAGCCCAGGAAATCAGCCCCAGCACTATGGAAATTTCTGAGAGAGAAAATAAAAATGAGAACCCAGTAACTAAAAAGGAAGTTGCACTCCTCCTTCCCCAAAACACATAGTCAGTTTCTAGCTGGTAGGTTTCCTTTTTGAGATCTTGCCTCTCCCTTTTTTACCCTTTTTTTTTTTTTTAAATCTCTCTCCTTCAATTATCTCCATGTCTGTCTTTCTGTGTTATCATTGCTTTTAGGTTTGCAGCTGCTATGGGTTTTAACCCACTTTGACCTTCTGCACAGCTTAATACAAGATGCATTCTGTCTTCATTTGTCTGTTGTGGTTAAGCTGCATTTGCTATATCAAATATCACATGCTTTATCTCATCCTGGGAAATCAGCCCCTGTTGGCAGCCAGCACCAGCAGAAATCTCAAACAGGTAACTTTCCCTGTGGAGGTGAGGCTGGGGAGTTCTAGCCTTAGGCAGAGGAAGAGATAAAAATCAGAAGTTTGACATATCTAGGGAGAAATAGAGAAGGAAAGAGTTGAAGGGGGAAAAAAAAAAGCAAAGATAGAATAAAAATATGGCTTGGGGGGTTATTGGGAAGAGCTTTACACACAGAGATCTCTATGAAAGCCCAATTTACAGCCTGTTGAATTTCAGAGCGATGCATCCTTCAGTGAGTCAGGCTCCATTCTTGAATTTGAAAAGGATTGGTTTATATTTTTTCTGCATCACTGTTATTTATTTCCCTTTTCCTGCTCCCTGGTAAAGGCCTCTGTTGTTGCATCGAGGAAAATTGGCCAGATTACTGTTTAGTATACTTTCTAGAAGGAAACATGATGCCCAAAAGCAGTGTCATACATTTGAGGGAGGCTATTAAGAGAAATGGTGGCTGAGAAGAAATGGCAGTGAATCAGGATACTCTGGAGATAAAGCATCAGAAGGACCTAGGAATCTACCTGAAGAAAGAAGGAAGCTTGGTTAGTTTGGCTGATAGGAAGCTCTTTAAAGTAGACCAGGATGACATGATAGCTGGACATCCAGAGAGCTGACATGAAAAGCACACAGGACAGAGCTGAAGGACAGACAGGACTGTGCAAGGAAGAACATGCATCAGAGAAAAGAGGAGTACAGTGTGGCAGAAGGTAAAGGGCAAGGGAGGGATGTAATGGACTGATGCATGTTCTATGCGCACAGAGTATTGAGAAGGGCTGCCCCTAAACAGAATAGGGCATACACAGCTGGATGTCTTTACCAAGGAATACCCTCTCTATCAGTTACTATGAAATCATGATGTCTCTTGTACTGGCTTCAGTTTTTTTGGTTTGTTTTGTTTTTTAAACTGTGTGCAAAAGAGAGTGACTTAGTCTATTATGCAACAAGACCAGCTGCAGGACAGGAGCCTGGCCCCTTGGAAGGTTGCATGCAGCCTCTTTTTCTTCCCAACATCCTTGTGCCTCATTCCTTTGTCATCAGGTTTGCCCTCCTGCACGACATAAGTGCAGCTACATGGTTGCCGAAACCTAGTTATGCTCTGAAAGTTCATGCTGAGATTTCACTGAGATTTTCACTCTGCCTGGCCCATAACCAAGTCACAACAGACTCAGTCTCATGGAAAAAAAGCTTACATCCTGGCAAGGTTTTAGACTGACCACTGTATAAAAAGAGGAACCACAATCAGCAGACAGAGGAGGAAATTACCATGTAGATTCACAGGCTTTTTTGCTGCTGAAATAGATCTCCAAGTACTGTTGATACATTTTAGATGTAAATTCAGCTGCTGATTTTATTAGAATACACTACATCTCTCTCAGACATCAGGAGATGGCTCAGTTCTTCCCTCTCAGCCATCAATAGAGTTGTTGTTTGCTGTCAAAGTTGAACTCTGAACTACATCTCCACAAGATACACAGAATCACAGAATGCTTGAGGCTGGAAGGGACCTCTGGAGATCATCTAGTCCAACCCCCCTGTGCAGGCAGGGTCATCTATAGCACATTACACAGGAAAATACAATGTGTGGCACTGTGCAACTACACTGAGATGATATTCCTGAACTTAAAAGCAATGCTTTTGAATTTGATTAGTGTTTGTGCTTTTGCAGGTCAATAAAACCAGATGTTTTTATCAATGGATGTGTAGGAGCTAGGAATAACACAGTGTTAGGCCAGATGATTCTGTTGTACACACCTAAACACCTTGTTTCTTAGAATGATGGAAAGAGTTAGATGGGAAGGGACTTCTGGAGGGGATGATTCATTTATCTCCCCTAATTAACCAATCATCCAACCAAAGCCAACAGAGGACAATCATATGCATTATCCCACCGCTGTTTTATGTCTTTATGGGGAACATCACACCTTCACCTCCTTCCTTTTTTGGGTCTGAGCCACAAATCTCAAGGCCAGATACTGTAGTTGCTTGCCATAGGTGTGCTACATCTGACTCCAAACCTAGGCCAAGTCTAAGTCCTGGGCTGTCAGACCAAAAGACCTGTTTCAAAGGTAGGAGTGTGAAGTCTGTGGCCTTAGAGAGAGCACACAGCATCTGTGTGAACAAGCTATTGCCACATAGCTCACAGAAGTGCTAATAACACCTTCTCACAGGGACAATCTTTCATATTTCATTGTCAATATCTGTCTAAGGATTGTACAGAACTCAACAGACTTAAATTTACTTTGGCTGCACCTCTGCCCCATGAGATAAGTAACCTCATCCCTCTCTTTTGACAGTGGTGGAGGTGGTATGAAAAGAAAAGCACAAAAAGGCAAATCCACTCAGCCAGGAAACAAGGCTGCAATCAGGCAATGTCACCTAGACCCACGCTGCAACCTTAGGGCTACTCTTACTTGATCTCAACCTGTTTCCCTCCCACATCCTATTCATGCACATTAGAGGAATGCAGTAAAGCCTTCTCAGAGGGTGGAGGTTTTGGTGTGAGTTGCATTGGTTAGATAATTCCACCAGAGGGCACTGGAACAGTAGCACCAATCTCCCAAGCTCTGCACAGCGTGCATCAGCACTGATACTGCATGGCTCCACCACTCTGCTTTTATCCTCGAGGTTACATTTATCAGAAAGATTATAAGAGGCCTGTGCTGACCCTTACCCTGTGCTGTAGCAGCATCCTACAGCTCATAAGGCCAGGCACACCCTTTGGAGCCTCCATTTTCTTCCCCTCCTACCTACTGCATGCTACTCTCTCACAGAAAGAGAGCGGGGCCAGACAGAGCACCTGCCTCCAGAACAGACTGCTGCAGCTCCAATTCACAGCAGTCCTAGCTAAGTAATCAGGGTAGAAAAAGAAGAAAGCCATCTGGGGTAACTCAGGAAGGACTGAATTAAACCAAGTACAGTCACCTCAGCTGGAAGTTCCCATAAGCCTCCAGCAACTACACCCTGAAATACGTTTGGGAATTTTTAATGCCAGGCATTTAGCACCCTAGCTTTGGGTTTCAAACACATGAAGGAGTCCCACCAGGACACAGATGTTAACACAGTCAGGTGGGGAAGAGGAATTTTGTTCCCATCAAGTTGCCTGCATCACCTAGTTTTACCACACTAAGGCATTGAACTCAGCATTGGCACAGTAAGAAAAAGAAGGGATGGTAAAGAGGACTCATGTGCCAGCTCTCAGCATGGGAGCCAACACCAATTCAGAGGGCAAAAGACCCTCTTTTGCCAAGTTCCTACAGGTCTTGCAGCCGTCAGCCAAGACTGACTCCAAGGGTGAAGTGCTCCCTGCTGACTCATATTGGTCTATGGCACCATGGCCTGTGTCTTTTAGGCTCTGCCTCTAGTTCAGATTTACTTGCATATTTAGCATTTTAGACCGGGAAGAAACAGCACACCATACTGGTCTTTCCATAACAGGAAAGACCTCTGTCCTTTCTGAGCTGAAGAATTGTTTTCATACCTTAGCACTCCCCATGGCTTATCAATCACACCCCCATATCAGACTTCTCACTGCTCTTCCCCAGCCCCTTCCTGGGACCTACCTCACTACTGCATTAAGGGCCTAGCACAAAAGTTGAGTTATAGAATAGCTCAGTTTGGATAGATTCTCTGGAGCTATTTAGTTCAACCACTGCTCAAAGCAGAGCTAATTCTGAAGTTAGATCAGGTTACCCAGGGCAGGTTCAGCGCTAAAGAAACCTCCTCTATTTCTGTATGGAACAGGCTTTTCCTTTCTCCTCCCTTTCCTTCAAAGGCCTTTATTTCTATGGTAGCCTCCAAAAATAGATATTCTACCCAAAAAGTAACTGTATAGCAGTGGTTTCCAAGCATAGTTTACATATTTACTATTGTGTTGGTTTCAGCCTTAGGCATTGGTGACAGCAGCCCCTAACTTTTCCTCCTAGAGGAAACATCCTTCCAAGCCTCCTTTACTAGAATAAAATTCCTCATCCCTGGCAGCTCAGCACCGCAATAGTTTGTGTAGCACTACTGATTTAGCATCTCCATGCATCCTTGGAAGCAGTTCACTTAACACCATAACCAATGCTCATGAACAAGCGCTTAGCTTTCACTTCAAAAAAGACCAGGAGGAAATCAGCTCCTAAGAGCCAAACTTCAAAGGCAACGCAAACACACACGTACTGCCATGCTACAAGAGGAGATATGTGCCTGCCAAAGAATATCTTGATTCCAAGTCTTACACTACCCTCTCGGTGCATGAGGGCACTAAAGCACAGAGAGCATTAGGTGACAAAATACTTCAGCATTTGGAAGAAATTAATTCCAGTACTGCCAAATTATCGAGAGAGATGGGGGAAAAAACATCTTCAAATTGTGCTTCTTCTAAAATCGACTCCATGTCACTCAGGAAAGCATCTGAATGGCAAGTCATTATGCTGATGGACATGAGCGAAGAGCTGCTATTGGACTCAGGGAAACATTTAGAAAGGCTTATACAAACTCTGCAGTCATCCAAAGATGTTCTGGAATTTTAAACCAGACCCACCAAATTCCTTTTCTGGCATTTTATGTTTGCCTACCTCCCTTTCCCATTCGATCTACTGGGCTGTTGGCCAAATTCAAGACACTCTTTCCTTCTTCTTCTATCTTGGATGCTCCTGGGGGCATTTCCAGACACCGCAGTTCTGCTTTGTGGCTTGTTGCATAGTTAGGTCTAGCCCTTGCCCAAGTTCCTGAGACACAGTGTGCTCTTGCTGCCATGTGCCAGCTGCAATTTCTTTTCAGAAGAGCACTTCAAGGGCACCAGCTCTAGATGCCTCTAGCTGGGTCCTGGGTGACACTTGCCTGCATACCCCCTCCCCAGCTGAGCCCAAGGACTGACAGAACGCCTGGAACAAGGTGACTCAGCAGCAGGTGGCAGCACATGGTCACAAGTGGGACGCCACACTTCCAGTTCTTGGTTGCAGGTGCCCCCAGCCACTTCTCTCCATAGGCTGGGTAGGCGGGGCGACCCCGGTGGGGGG